TGAGGTAATACAGGACAGATCAAAAATGCATATTACACAGTGTGACATCACATACTGCCACACTTTCATTGTACATGCTGCCAGAAAGTTGTCCGAAGCCTCTGGGTTTATATACGGAAACGATAACTACGGGTTGTCGTGGAAATGAGTCATTTTGGCAAGCTTATGTGTGTATGATTATTCAGTCCCTCCAAAATGTTGGTTGAATTAAAACAAATTCTACCAAATTTGAGCAGAAAACATGAATGAAGAGAATTGATATACAGCGTACACAAGACATTCGTGTGAATTAAAACAACGTGGCATCAACAAAATTAGCATATCGGGTACTTGCTCTGATTCAGCATTATTTTAGAAATTGTTCCTCTTTCCTGTTTTACATAAGTCTGTCAATAATCACTTGTGTCTGCTGACTTTAGAGAAAATAATATGGTATTATATATAAAAACATATACAACTAAATATATAGCCTTATTTTTTGTTCATAGGTTGATGCAAGTCATTTGATATCAGTGTTAAAGTATGCAAAAGATAGAGGTTTAAAAATAGCTATACACATTGCAGAGGTATGCATTACATCAAATCATCTCTATGAAGGTACATCAATTGTGAAGATTGGCTAAATAGGCTCAGCTGGTTTACTGTCCAGTATAATATATTGCAATGTTCGTGAATCTATGAAATGTGATGGACAACATTGTGTTTTCTAGGTTGCCAGTATGACAGATGATGAGGCTCTTTTACAAATCTTACCAGACAGAATTGGACATGGAACATGTTTACACCCCGATTATGGCGGGTCAGACCACCTTGTTTCATTGATGAAAGAATACCAAAAACCACTAGGTAAGACAAAATATCATACACCGCTAGGTAAGACAAAATATCATACACCATGAGGTAAGACAAAATATCATACACCACTAGGTAAAACAAAATATCGTACACCGCTAGGTAAGACAAAATATCGTACACTGCTAGGTAAGACAAAATATCATACACCACTAGGTAAGACAAAATATCATACACCGCTAGGTAAGACAAAATATCATACACCACTAGGTAAGACAAATTATCATACACCACTAGGTAAGACAAAATATCGTACACTACTAGGTAAGACAAAATATCATACACTACTAGGTAAGACAAAATATCATACACCACTCGGTAAGACAAAATATCATACACTACTAGGAAAGACAAAATATTATACACCACTAAGTAAGACAAAATATCATACACCACTAGGTAAGACAAAATATCATACACCACTCGGTAAGACAAAA